GCTTTCGCGCTTTGGCTGGCGCGGAGCCAGATTGGACGCGCTGAGCGCTTGTCATATTATCACAAATATTCAGTGTTTTCAACCATATAATGCTTATTTTAGGTTTCAGACATTTAAATACACATAAGTACTAGCAAAACCATACATTTACAGTTTGTAAAATACACGCTGATGTCTATGGAAACGGCAATAATCATCCTTAAAAATATAATCTGACGACATGTTTTTATTGATATCATATACAGATTGTGTGGATAACTATATAAGTTTACTCTGCTCTTCTCCCAGTTTACCGGAGACCTACTTGTTGTAAATACATGTCTATGATTTTGCAAAAAGGACTTTATCTTCTTGCCGGAGTTTAATGTTGTTTTGTTACTTGCTACCGTGTGTCTGTGAGAACAGACGGGCGTAGAAAATACTATAAATTATTTTTAACGTGCACAGTAACTGAAATGTAAAACTGTTAAAAGAACACAGAGATATATAAATTCTATATTTATTTAAATGAGGGAAAAAGACTTCACTGGTATCGGATCTGTATCAGTATCGGCCAATACTGAACCCTAGGTATCGGAATCGGTATCGGAGGTGAAAAAGGCAGATCGGAACATCCCTATGCTGAATGCCCAGACACAGAAGACAACGCTCGTGGCCGTTGTCAGAGGATAGGAAACGACTGCATCCAGAAGGACACGGACGAAACGGCGTCTTTAAAAAGACGCTAATCGTCCGTGATTTGCTCTTTTAGGAAATCTGCTCTTTTAGTTGAAGCGCCCAGGGGAATCGCTGAAAGGGACACCGCTGTTCGCGCCGTACCGCCAACCAGAACGGCTTCCCGACACACAGCAGATGAATGGCTTTGTGGAGTATAACAGCTTTTCATACAACCACTCGGTTCCAAAGCAAAAATCTGAAGAGTGGATGCACCTGTCGCCTATTTATACCCGTATGCACAGGGAGTGGGTCAGGTATGCAAAATCCACTAGCCAGTTTTCATTGGCGTTTTCTCTTAAACTCAGAGATGATTGGCCTCCCAAGTGAGACCCCATATGTCGTTCGACATAACTCGTAGTGACCGACAGATAGGGAACCATGGTTAAACAACACTAAGTGGGCACTGAAACGAGTATGCCGGCCTGCAGAGTGGACAACATGCAAGTGGAAAAAAGACAAGTTACATGTGTCTCTTGAAATCTTACGTACTTCTCTGACAGCTATCAAAAAGCTGTGAAAGCAGTTAAATCTAAATATTTCTCTGACATCATATCAAGAAATTGCCAATTGAATTTTTTTCCACTATAAATTTTCACTATGATAAATCAGCTATAGCTTGTGAAAGTTTTCTTAGATACTTCACAAATAAAATAAGTGATATCAGACAGCTTATTATCCCTGTAGATTATGATCCCTCGGTCCCTCCTGCCTGTGAATTTTAACCAATTTCTAAAGATTCTCTTCAAGAACTTACTAAGCAATTAAAACCCACTATGTCTTCAGCTGATATTATTCCAACACATTTATTCATTAAGGTTTTGGATGTTATTGGGCCTTGTATCCTGTCTATAATAAATAAGAGTCTCTTTGAAGGGACTGTCCCAGAATATTTTAAACATGCAAGAGTCAAACCTCTCTTAAAACGACAAAAATTTGGATGTGACTGTGTTATCCAATTTTAGGCCTATTTCCAATTGACCTTTTATCACTAAAATCTTAGAGAAAGTTGTTTCTAATCAAACGCTAAGTTATTTAGATTAAAATGGTGTGTTTGAAACTTTTCAGTCAGGGTTTAGGAAACATCACAGTACTGAGTCTGCCCTTTTAAGAGTATTAAATGATATCTTGCTATAAGTTGATACTGGTAACGCTGTAGTACTTTTGCTTTTAGACTTAAGCACATTTGAGCGCATTTGACACAGTAGACCACAGCATAGGTGTCATGCCCCCTCAGATTTCTGAGCCAGGTGGATTTTGAATGCAGCTTCCAAAAGACAAAAAATAGAACTTTTCAGTCAGGGTTTAGGAAACATCACAGTACTGAGTCTGCCCTTTTAAGAGTATTAAATGATATCTTGCTATAAGTTGATACTGGTAACTCTGTAGTACTTTTGCTTTTAGACTTAAGCACATTTGAGCGCATTTGACACAGTAGACCACAGCATAGGCGTCATGCCCCCTCAGATTTCTGAGCCAGGTGGATTTTGAATGCAGCTTCCAAAAGACAACAAATAGCAGAATAATATTTTTTATATTTGATGCAATCACACCGGTGTGATTAGATCGTTCAGTGCGGCACATCATCAGCTGCTAAATTCAAATCTGCGTTCGCTGGCTGGCGCTGAGCCAGAGACAGACGCGTTTGTACAGCGCTGCATTATAACCAATCACACATGATTCTGTTGAGCTTATGAATGCAATGGCCAATCATAGGTGTTCAGATGAGTCATCGCTGAAACGCAGTGTTTTGTTCACTCGCTCGCTGACTGAATTCTCTGGCGAATTCTCTCATCAGAAACAACCAAGTGCAGATGTGAGTAAGAATGCAAGTAAGATATTCATTTCACAGTGTAAACAGCTGCAGTGATTTAAATGGGAGTTTTTGAGAGTGCCTGAACTCTGGCTAGACTAAATTAAAATGTTCTTTGATAATGTACATTTTCTTTGCTCTCTGTAAAATGAAAGTGTTATAGGCTAATTAGTAACTTACAATATTGTTATTAAATTCACATGAAATACAACGTCAGTCGTATAAAAATATTTTTTTACGGCATGCCGCATGACACCCATATCTGGTACTTAAAGATGGGTTTTTATGTGTAGTTAATAGATTTCACTATTAGTCTACTTTGCCCATCACCCATTATAGATAAAATAACATAATCTATAAAGGTGCAAAACGCATTTAATTACACATATTTGAGAATCTAGATATTTCCTGATTGGGAATATTTCAAATGAAAAGGTAAAAAATAAATAAATAAAACATATGCCTATATCAGTTATACAGTCCTATCGTGGCTGCTGTATGTCACATTGAGCGCACCCCCCCCGCCACTCGTGCCCCCTCAAAAATAATGAATGCATGACGCCCCTCTTATTTCCCATCTTCAACACTGTGTGGGTATTATTGGTACTGCCCTAGAATGGTTCAAATCCCATTTGAACAATATAACTTTCTCAGTTTGTGTGGATGGGTGCTCATCCTCTAAATCAGTTTTGACTTGTGGAGTTACTCAAGGTTCTATCCTTGCCCCCATTTTATTTTCTTTGTATATGCTCCCGCTGAGTTCAATTTTAATAAGCACAAAGTGTCGTTTCATTGTTGTGCTGATGACATTCAAATTTATGTGCCTTTTAAGCAAAATGACAACCAGGGTTTGAGTGATTTAACTGCTTGTCTGTCTGATATTAAAGCTTGGATGTCTCTTAATTTTTTGAACCTCAATGAGAGTAAGACTGAGGCTAATGTGTTCGGACCTTTAGCTGTATCTGCCAACATACAGCAAGTGCTGGGTGATCTGGCCGCATATATCAAGCCCTCTGTAAAACATGTAGGTGTTGTGTTTGATTCTGCTTTGGCTTTTGATAAGCAAGTAAATGCAGTAGTTAAATCAAGTTTATTTTAGCTTGGACTCCTTGCTAAGGTGAAGAGTTTTTTAACTTGTGCTGAGTTTGAGAGAGTTATACATGCTTTTATCTCATCTCGACTAGACCACTAACTACTTTGTACAAACAGTACAAAATGCAGCTGCTAGACTTTTGACTGGCACTCACAAATACGAACATATTACCCCTGTCCTACTCTCTTTGCACTGGCTACCAGTCCATTTTAAAATAGGGTTTAAAATTGTACTTTTTGTTTTTAAGGTTTTAAATGGACTGGCACCTTTGTATCTTTCTGACCTTTTGAGTTTACACACCCCAGCTAGATGTCTAAGGTCATTGAATCAGAAACTCTTTTTGGTCCCTAGATCTAGGCTGAAGAAAAACAGTGACCGGGCTTTTGCCATAGCCGGCCCTAAACTGTGGAACAAGCCGATCTCTATTAGAACAATTGCAACAGAAACACTTTTTAAAGCAAAACTAAAAGCCTATCTTTTAGACAAGTCTTATAGTGTATGAGCCAAAAGGGGCTTATTCAAAATGATTATTTGTTTGTCTGTCTTGTCACATTATTTTTATGTATTTTGATTTCTGTTAAATGATATTGTTCAGCACAAAGGTCAACCACTGTTGTTTTATAGTGCTTTATAAATACAAATTTAATTATTATTATTTATTTAAATTTTTTTTTAAGTTCCAAAGGTTTCTTGGCCAATGGTACCACAGTATATTATATATACAGTGAATATATATTCACACACACTCAAATTGTTGTTGAAAATTCAAAACGTATGATAATTTACAAACTAAATAACGGCGATTAGCCAATCAGAACGCAATTTTTTATACCTTTAAAATATGATAGGCTCATGCCACACAAGCAAGAATGCAATCTCCCTAATATCAGCACGTGTGTGCGATGGCCAATGTGATATTAATTTTATACAACAGAAATTCAACAAACAAGAAATGAATTGAGTGAGTTACATTTTATACACAATATTGTCAGTTCCAAACAAAGCCGGAGCAAAACTGTTGTGCATCTCAGAGCAACACTGTGATGATTCTTTCCTGAATTAATCTGCTTTTTAACGAATCGAGTGAGTCAATGATTTAATGATCCATTTATATTTTTATTTAACTAAATTAGAAGTGAATCAAGGCAACGAGTTTGCACTTTAAGTCAACAAATTAGTTTTTACAGTGTGGTTGACTGAATACATGTGGCCAAAAGTGTTTTTCAGCATCAGTGAAACTCCACGTCCAAAAGTGTTTAAAGATCAGTTTTTCACACTGTCTGTAATTTTCAGTCGCTATATAATTTGATGACATTTCAATTTTGGCATTGTAACAGCAGCCATATGCCCAGAGGACGTAACAGTAAAGTGTTAATTTACCTTGAACTCCATTGAGCAGCAGATCGACTCCATTCTTATAGTAGCTGAATGCCGCCTCATAGTCTTCATTGACTTCTCGGTCCAGTGCCATTCGAATCTGTTGGGCTGCATCTAGTAGATAGTCTTTCTTTGCCATGTTTGTCAGTCAGTTGGAGAGGACAAGCGTCCACAGGAACCAGAGCCAGGTGTTGGATCTGTAGTTGTGAAATCACTTGTGAAGTGGCACATCTCTGGTCATTAAAGACCCTCCCAGCAGCCCCTCGTCTCTCCTGCATTCACACACATGTGAAGTGAGGCCAGTGTCCACCTGTGCAACACAGAGCCAAAATACACAATCACCACATTATGCACAAAACATCAGCTTTTTACAGACATGTATTCATTAGTTAAGGTGGTGCTGTGGTATGTACTGTATGAAAATGTGCCACATACTGTATGAAACATACACACGTCTGTTTTACTGTTCTTGTTTTTAATTATATTTTAAATATGTTTTTACTTTTTTATTGCTAATTGTATTTTTGTTATGAACATCTGTTATGAATATGATTATATAAACTATTTTTATATAAAGCACTCTGAATTACCATTAATGTCATATAATATATAAATAAAATTGCCACAATTTGTTACATTGATTTAGAATGTCTGAAAGCTTATTTCCGCCATATAATATAATTATAAAAAAGTTAATTGTGTCTTTTTTATTAGAATTGCAAGTTTACATCTCGTAATTCTGACCCTTTTTTTCCCTGAATTCTTAGTTCTGATAAGAAAAGTCATAACTGCGAGATATAAACTCGCAATTTCAAGACATAAACTCAAAGTTCTGAGAGAAAAGTCACAATTGCGAGACATGAACTTACGATTTCCAGATATAAACGTAAAATTCTGAGAAGAAAAAATGTAGAATTGTGATATAATCTCTCAATTGTTTAAGATATAACTCATAATTCTGAGTAAAAAAAAATCAGAATTGCGAGATATGAACTTGCAATTTCAAGATATAAACTTATAATTCTGAGGAAAAAATCAGAATTGCAAGATAAAAATTTATATCTTGCAGTTTACAGTAGTGTGAGAAAAAAAAAAGGTCTCAGGTTATGCATGTAACCATGGTTCCCTGAGAAGGGGAGTGAGACCCTGCATCCCCCAGAGAGCCTCAGCATGACGACTCTAAATCGAGAGGAGACTAACGATATCCCACGCTCAGAATACCATGCAAGGAGGCTCACAGAGAGCCTACTACTCGCAATGCTATCCTAGCGGAGCTCCAGAGAGCGGGGGCCTCAGTAAGATAACTCTAAGATAACAGACGCGAGCTGAACGTGGCTGCTCCAGATGTGACGTCATAAGCTGCCACCTGCCAATGTTAAGTTCATTGTTGTGTTCAGATTCATGCTTCAGACACCGGTCATGCCAGGAGCATTCTCCATTGCGCCCGCTAGAATCCAATCAGAATCTAGAGTCTGACCGATCCGTTTTACAACATTTGTAAAAATGAACATAATGCACTACGACTCACCTTTGCCCCTGAGACCTGTCACATAAAACAGTCATGTGACTCAGTGTTTCCATCTGATCAAAGTCTCTCACGGGCCTCCAGTGCGGACGAGGCTTTAACCTGATTAAAACCAGACCCCAAAAAAGTTCATGTTCACCCTATATCGCAGAAGAACAGAGACTGTGTGAGATACAGTGCTTTCTGAGAATGAATGCGATCCTGTAATGTTAATTCTCCTAACAAAGCACATCAAGGCAAGTCCATTTTATTTACAGCGCTTTACACAATACAGAAGGCAGCTTAAAATAAAGAAGAAACAAATACTGCTGTACTGATGGCTTAATTCCTACCTAAAGCTACCTAATCACTGTCCACTGCCAACAGACATGCAACGTGAAAGAATACAGAAGATCAGAACAAGATATGTATTATTTGTAACTCTATATGATATCAGTCAAACAACAAAACTTACCAGGTAAAATGTCACAAACTTTCTTGCTGCAGTACAACAATAAAATAAAAAATAAATAAAATTTAAAAATAAAAAAAAAACTAAACTCACATTTTATATCAGCTAATCAAGGCAACATTCCTCTTTTTCTAAACAGTTTGAGTTAAAATATAAAAATGACTAAAACTAAATAAACTAAAAACAAAACCTTAATAAAACAAAAAAATATATAATAGTATTTAAATGATACTAATATAACACTGTATATGAACTGGCAAATATTGACCAAAGTATGAGCAGGTGATGATGTGCCATAAAACACATCAGAGACTAAATATGTAAATAAATCACCGTGCCATAAATAGCATCAGTGTTTCCAAAACCTGTTCAGGCAGTTTTTGTCAAATGAAAGTGAAAGTAGGCGAAAAAACAAGCTTGTTCACTTAACATAATTTACCAGTGCAAACTTAAAAAAATACTATAAATACTGCAGTAAAATACACTCACAATTAAGCTCGAGACACAGTCATCAAAACATGATACATACACCAGAACAGCTGAGAGACTCGTCTTTCTCCCGGAGATCCCACATGCATTTGAACAGCTGATGTATGTTGTGTGGTACTGAAGGTTTAGTTAGCAGATCATAGATCAGATGAACGCATGAAGCCTGTGACGTCACGCCTGACCCCAGCTGTTATTTCACGGTGACGACGATGATCTTACACTGCACTTACTGTACCGTTACTAAACGGTGCCTGTGTGTGAGGCAGAGCCTGAATGACAGAGCGGGGATCATTCAGCACGCGTCACTAGCACTAATATTACATAATGAAGAGAAAACCAACCGTGCGCGAGACTCCCCTTCTCATCCTCAGCATCCGCTGTCAGCATCAGGAAGACCAAACAATAAGCGCTTCCTATTGGCGGAGCATGAGGTCACCCCGTGACGTCACCACGCCGCATCCCACCCTGGATGCGGTAATTAACTCTTCGTTACACAGTAGCAAAATGCTGTAAATATTAAAGCTTTGTTTAGGGCAGCACAACTTGTAATTAATCAACTGCATGAATGACAGCATAGAACACGTGTGGGGGAAAAAAACAACATTAATATCACAACATAAAACTGACATTTCTGAAAAAATACTCTTGTCCTGAGACCACAAATCAAGCTTTTTCAGGTCAAATCTGCCTTGATCATTTCTTCTCTAAATATTTCAGTGTGCTTTATTGTTTTGTTGTGCTTTATTCTCAAAATATGATGATATTGTCTGCAGGACAAAATTCACTGAAGAATATGATAAATAGCCTAGTTTCCTTTTAGACCAACATAGAAAACACTAATATAGAAAACAAGCACGCAAGCAAGCTGTGGTGAATGCATGTATTTATTTATTTATTTATTTATTTATGTGTGTGTATTTTATTGTGATGATTTTGAATTGCAGACACCCATAAAATGTATTTTGTCTTTTATTATTTATTATTTTTTAATGCTTGATTTAGCATTTTTTTTTCTCTCTTTTTTGGTTCATAATATCAGTACATATCTTATTTTCAACAAAAAAAAATAAAAAACGGTGCTAAAAAACTAATCATATTTAGAAGCATAGTTTCTTAAGTTCTTTATACGTGACAGCGGTATATCCTTTCAAAAAGAACTAATATCTATATTATATTATTTCTATAGCTTTATGCACTCATTAGGGGTAAATTGGGTACAAAGAGATAGTGTGTTCCTCATACGTTGCTTTGATCTTGTTTGTGAGTCAGCTTTTTAATGCAAAATGCTGTTCACTTTTTACATCTGTAAGTTCATGATTCATTCCATATCATACACGGGGTTCATAGATTTTTATATTTCTTGCTATATTTCTGCAGGTTGGAAAAATCTATTTTTCCCTGTAATTATTTATAGATATATAAATAATTATAGATTATTGGAATGTTTTTGCCTTTCATGTTGTTTAGGGGAGTGTTTGGCAATCTTGTATATGTTGTGTAGAAACATATCGCCCATTTAACCTTGTTAATCATTTTGTTTAATACAACATAGTTTTTTTAATACAACATAACAAAATACAAGATAATGATGAAAAGCATTAATTTTGTTTACGTGCCCTGCAATGATTTTCAATTAATTTTGTCCCTGTCAATATAGAAAGTTAGTATGGATACTGTAGACTAAATTTACGGATGAAAATAAATATAACTGCCGGAAGTAAATTGCCATGTTAAATATTTTAAATAGATCTGTATTTTTCATCTTGCTCCACATAGTGTCTACATCTTGTATTCCATTCATGGTTTTCTAGCTCAAAACATAAAGAAAGCCAAGCGTTTAATCACGCTGAGGCTTTGGCTGTGTCATGTGATATATAGTGTAGAAGATATGCATTGATTTATTCATATTTTTTCTCTGGCTCTGGTTACTAACGTAACCTCAGTTCCCTGAGAATAACGGGAACTAGTGTTGCGTGAAATGCTTTGGGGAAACTCCTGTTTACTCTGATACTCAAGTAAGCCTATGTAAGAATGCCATTTCATCAGAATCTTTCGACTGATAGCAACAGTCATCGACTTGTGTGCAGCCTTATAGCACGGCAGTCTACGCAATGCTCATTCCTGCTGTTCTCAGGGAACCGAGGTTATGTTAGTAACCGGACTCTGTAAGTCCGCTGAGGTGTAAGCCAGGGCTATAGCATCTAGCATCCAGTGGGATAGTCTCTGCTTCGTAACTGGCAGCCCTTAAGAGCAGCTTCCGAATCATAAAAGGAGCTGCTCTGAATGCCTAAAGTGTCTAGAGCGCTCTGTGTAATCTCTAAGGGCCCAAACCAGGCAGAGCAAATTAGGACCCTGCTCATCCTCTGAATTAGGAAGAGCTAGAACGGTGATGACTTGTGCTCTGAACGGAGTGGAGAGGCACATAGGCATGTCTTGGTTTAAGGAAGACTTTACAGTCATTAGGCCCAAACTCAAGTCAGGAAGCGCTGACTGAAAGCGCTTGCAGATCACCCACTCGCTTGACCGACGCTAAAGCCAAAAGGCCTCCTGATCGGAATCTCCAAGGGAGAGCCGTCGAGAAGGGACACAAGGTCCGAGAACCACACTCGGGCCGGCCAGAATGGGGTTATTGACCAACCCCGTCCCTGCGTACACTCTCCAGAACTCCCGGTAGCAGAGCGATTGGGGGAAAAGGGTACAGACGAAGCCTCCGCCACATCTGCGATGTAGGAGCTAAATGCGTGAGGGAGAACCAGAGCAGACAGTGTTTTGCTTCCTGTGACGCAAATAGATCCACTTCTCTCATCCACTCAGATCCCTCTGCTAAATCCACCTGCGATCCCTATGACAACAGCTTATGCTGAGCCTCAGCCGCAGCGGGATCGGAGCAAAGAGGATCGCGAATCTGGCCGCTTTCATCAAACAAGGCCAGGCGGGAGCAGAGCACATGTGGCGGGAGCTGCTTACACTGGGCACAGCAACCTCCCAAACAAGCGACGCACAGATCATATGTGTCCCCATCAGTAATAAAGCGGGGACATGGGGGAGCACACAGGCTGAAGCGCCGCTCATTTGCTGATTTTTGTTTACACTTAGACATTTTAATATCTTACTAAAAGAGGCAAACTGACTCACTAGCAATGCTTGTGCAAACACTCCACAGACACACACACACACAATGCACTACTGAATAGCAGAAGCTTACCGGTGCTAATTCGGATGCTTCTATCATGTTTTGCAAACAGAACCCAAATGCAGAACAGCAAGCGGAGCTCATTAAAGGGGTCATGAACTGCCCTTTTTATTATTACTTTGTACTGCTCCACTTATAATGTTATCAAGAATTTTACATCAAAAAAACATCATAATTTAGAAGTAACAGGCTATTTTCTGTCCTGTTTTGACCCCCTCTCATCAGAACACTCCGTCTGAATAGGCGTGGCAGACTGTAGACTCGGAAGTAAACGCCCACCGCTATGATTGGCTAACAGTTTTGCATATTTAAAAATCTGCATGAATGTTTGACAGCTTACATCCTTCACAGATGGACCCTGCTGTGATTTAGGGTTAAAAAGCATAAATACTCAGTACATCTCAAACGATCTGTAATAACAAAGCAATAGTGACCAGGGTATGTGTGTGTGTGTGTGTGTGTGTGTGTGTGTGTGTGTGTGTGTGTGTGTGTGTGTATGTATGTATGTGTGTGTGTATGTGTGTGTATGTGTGTGTGTATGTATGTGTGTGTGTATGTATATATGTGTATATATATATATATATATATATATTAGCAAATTTTTTAATTTTATTTATTATGCTTGTATATCAGTTATCTTTTTTATCAGTTATCTTCAGTTATCTGTTTTATACTAAGTAATGATTGTCTTGGAGTATGTGTATGTTTGACACATTTCAGGGTTTTGTGTCGCAATATCCTGTCATGTCAAACTTTAAATAAAACTAAACTAAACTAAACTAAACTAAACTAAACTAAACAGGCAGTGATGTAGAAGCAGGAGTTGATCTTCTTCTGCGGAGGCGGGGTTTAGCCGCACTATTACGTCATAGAGCGGAACATTCCACAAGCTTTAGTTTTGGCAGATTGGCTTCAATCTAAGCTGTTTTTAGACTAATGAGAAAGTTTTGAATTCTGAAACTTACCGGATGTTTTTATAACAGAGAGACTTCTTATATGTCAAAAGATCAAGGGAATTTGGTTTCTCAGTTCATGACCCCTTTAAGTAAGCATGAGATGTAACGTCTAAGTAAAAGAACTCCTTAACTTAAAAGTGCTAATTGTTTTGAATGTCAAGACAGGATGTTTTTATAGTACAATGACCTCTTATATGTCAAAAGATCAAGGGGATTTTGATTTCTCAGTTCATGACCCCTTTAAAGATTTTTATTAACAAAAATAAAGAGCAACACAAAACTGAACTAAAACAAAGCCCAGATAACAGCCAACATGGCTAGAAAACAAAAGACCCGTTGTATGTAGGGCAAAAAAAACAAAAACAGAAGAGAACAGGGCTGAGCTGAACTGAAACGAGCAATCAGGACAATGAACCAGCACAGGACAGAAAACACAAGGGGAATAGATAGGAGCGCAAACAAAGAAGGTAACGAGGGAAAGCAGGTGAGGCAATATTCAGGTAACAAGATGGGCGGGTTTAGACAATAGACAGGAGAGCACATGGCACCAACAAACGCGACAAGCCACTATTTACACAAAGGCACAGGAGTGTCCTCTGGTGGCCATCTTGGGCACACCAGCTCATTGGACTGATTAACGTTACACACCTGCTTCAGAATGTGGTCATGCAGAGCTATTCCCCTGAGTTCCCTGATGGGTAACAGTTTTTCTTTGTGGAAGCTTTGTGTTTGGTTAGCTCATAAAATATTAAAACTCAATTCAATATTATGTGTACAATTATTTAATTATGTCATCATGATATTGTGGACGTGCTTTCTCATTTCATACAAACGCAGCTGCTGCCAATTAGCAACAATTGTTTTGTACACTGTAATGGATTATAAGATCACTAGCAAACTGGTAAGACTTTAAAACAGTTTCATCTTAATTATATATGAGCCTCATGAATCAAATATGATGCACGTATGCATAACTTTTTTAGATACATTTTGACTAAATGTTTAATTATTTAAAGTTTAAATTATTGATAAACCTGAACCACTATGACACATATGATCATAACATGCAAGAAATGATGCTTGTGTATACTTTTATTGCAATTTTTGCATTGCCACATGAAATGGATTACATTGTTAAGTCATTTTGAAAGCAGTAGTTCATCTAAGTAACCTTAAACTTCACGTTGTAATACACATAGTAACCATTGTTGAACATGTAAAGTCTCTGATCGGTGGGATTGTAGTCCAGG